AACAACTTCCTGCAATGTACAGGAGGTACAGTACTACCAGCCAGACCCACTCCTCACCTGCAGTTATACTTACGTACAGTACTACGAACGTCGGTACGAGCACGGTAGTATTACAACTAGTGGAACAGCCTGGGACCTACATTTGTAAGTACGAGTCGCACATAACTCGGATGTTCGTAACTCGGGGACTGCCTGTACAGTGGTCCTTCCTTTTTTTCCCCCCCATTATTATTTGAATGCTTATTAGGCCCTTGGTGATAATGTATGTTTCTGGGTTATTTAATTGGTGAACTGAGGCTTGTTATATGCATTGATTTGATTGCCATCCTGTAAACCATTGAAAATCTTTAAAAATTGTTTTTGGTTGTATAAATTTACTTTGTGTTGGTAATGAGAGGGGCAGAAGTATTCCCAAGCATGCAGTCGCAAAACCTCTATCAACTTTTAAAAGGACTCTTTGCATGAGACAAATTTTTATTTTGATACCTTTTTTATACAAAAGTAGGGCAATATATTTAATCCATGTATAGTTAAAAAGAGAAACCCCCGCTCCAAGCTATTTTTAGTATAACCAATTAGCTTTTTATATCTCTAAGGGGTCTCATCATTTGAGTTCCCAGTGATGATTGTCTTTGAACCACTGTGGACTTATTTAACATTACTTGATGTCAGCAAAATGGTTGAGACAACCTTTCTATCTTTTCTTTGGCTGTATTGAGACAACAGAGATCACTGCTCTGTCTGTCATCCAAGGAACCAGGTAGCCAATGCGCCTTAAAATTTACAGCTGGTGCCCAACGTTTAAGGTTTCCACTAGTTGTTATCAAAGGAGCTTGCTCCTAAAATCCTGCTGGCACCTGAATTCCAGATCAATTTATGTTCACCCCTGATGCATTATATTTTTTTTATGGTACACATCTGCCAGCTCCTTCTGCAGCCCGGAGATATATAAATTACCAATTTTGTCTTCAATGAAAGATCAGAAGCACTCGATAGAATAATGTATGATTATAGTATTTATATATCTAGGAAATATCTAGGTCCCTTGAATAACACAAAACCTTTTCAAGCATTCTGACTAAATGGTATCTAAGGATGTCAATGCATGTTAATCTGCAGAGTCCAACTTTGGTTTCAAGATTGACTTTACATGAATAATCCATCTAACCGCTTTTTATAATACAAAGTGGGGCAGATACTATATATATATTTTTCTATTGTTGCATCAGTGGTAGCAGTGCAGTGCCAACAAGGGACTCCTAATCCTATTATTATCTATTAAGCTCTTTAGCTTCATGTTGCATAAGCTTAATGCAAATGAAGATACTAATAGCACACAGGAAAAGGAATGTGTAGGGTTCAGCGTTTTTGTATATATTACACCTGATATTGCTGGCTTTCCATTTACTGACCTGCTTAGGGAGTGTTTTAGGAAAACATGACAGTTTTATCCTGAACCTTGACGTCTGTACATGAGATATGTAATACTAAGTGACATAGCCTTGGCTGTGATATCCAAATAGACAAGCAAGTGCAGTATGCCCTAAAGCTTGCAGACGTTTTAAAGAAATGATCTTTTCTATAGTTGGCACAGGCATTCATACTCCGCTTTTTATTTGCAAATAAAAACTGTAGCTTGAATTGAGAATATGTGTTGATTCCTGCAGATTTTTATATGTTTTTAGGATTTGTTACGTAAAAGTAATAGATGCTATTGGGGAATTGACAGTGGAAAAACCCTTTTATACAAATGCATACACATACAGATAAGAACATTATCATAGGATGAGAACACACGGCAATGGGGTTGATTTACTAATGGCAAATATGCTGTTCACATTGCAAGGGAATGTGCACTTAGCAGGGACGTTTGCCGTTAGTTTATTGAATGAGGGAAATCTTTACTGACCTCCCATCACCCAATCATGTAAAAAAAAAACAACATTTTTTCCCCCCTTTGATTTCCTTGCACATGATTTGATATTCTTTACACAGTTAAAGGAGAACTATGAGATGAGTGATTTCCACTCACCTCATAGTTCTAGCCGACCTGTGACAATGAGACTGTCACAGGTCAGCTCAGTAGATCGGGAGGTGAGCGAACACATACCAGGTTCGCTCACCTCTCGATCCTGTCACGGCTCTCGCCCGGGAGAGGGGGAGGGCTGGATTCCCCTCTCCCCGCTCCGATCTGCCAGCGCTGACTGGCGTAACGGACGGGGGAGGGGGCGGGTACAGCTGGCTCTGCCTCTAGATAGGCAGAGCCAGCTGTCACTCACGCAGCTGGGTGGATCCCGTCATCTACGTCGGGATCCGCTCCAGCTGCAGTGTCTCAGTATACTGAGCTTAGGGTAACGGGAGGACGCTAGTTTGTGTCCTCCCGTTACCCTATGGAGAACTATGGGGAAAAACACTGACCCCATAGTTCTTCTTTAAGTTTCACCACATTCACTAAGCTAAGAGAAACTTCCCCTGCAAAGCGCAAATTCCATTGCAAAGTGAGCAACCTATTTGCCTTTAGTAAATCAGCCCCAATGTCTCATCTGAGCGCTTATACTAGGTGACAAAGGGGTAATGGGGAATATTTTTAAACTAAAATAATGATCCTATCAATGTGTGTTAATATGGCAGCCATGTTGGATATTTAGACATACTGGATCTGTTGCTTGCTTTGCAGTGGTACACAATGCTTCTGATCTACTGCTCCTCCCATGCAAGTCCTACCAGTCAGCCGACTCCTAGTAAACAATCATATCAATGTGCAGCTGATATCTTGTCTCAACAGATGAACAGGCGGAATCATTGTGGTAGCCAATCTTCCTTGCCTCTAATGTCATATCTTCAGATCTGTACATTTTATTACAATACCAAAAAATATTGGATTTGTACTGTGCAATAAAATACACTTGTTTTTCAATCTGATTAAACGGCAATAAAGCTTTGATTGCTCTCATTCCTTTGGCTTTCTAATCCAGTAAAGAATGTCCCAATTCTTATTTTTCTAGTTCTGTATTTGCCTCTGAACCTTTGTGTCTAGCCAACAGGGAACAGTTGGACCTATTATATATGTCTGTGCTCGGCTAAGCTGTGCCATGTGCACTATTGAAATGTCTATTGAAACAAAAAAAATGTGTTTTTTGTTGTTTGCAGCCCCCAATCTACAGCTGAGCAGACGTATAAAGCAGCTTCCTGTTTTCTTTATTTTTATGCCAATATTCTATTGTGTTGAAGAAAAGAGTTATTAGCAAAGGTTAGGGCCCTAGCAGATTGTGTGTGTGGTGTTGGACTTTGGATCTTTGTCATTGTTTGCTTGCTGAAGTTTGCCATTCTTCAGTTGGTTGAATGCTTCTTTTGTTTTCATTGAGCAGCATGAGCTAGAAGTATGAGTAGTGCATTTTGTCCCCAGGAATTTGGCTAATAACTTAATGGTGTCTTTCCACCAGTGCTCTTTGAGACATCCTTTTGTTGATATATAGGCTGTGCAGATGGAAGGGAGGCACTTAACTGCAGGCTGGAACTTCACTTCTGGTTCCAGAGATCAGATGTCTGCACATTCTGTTTATTAGTATTGCTCACAACCCAAAATGAGCTCCTTTTAGATAACATTATACAATCGGGAGTAGGGTTTACACCTGCTGCTTTGAAAAGCCAGCCATACACTTAGCCACATGTTGGCTAATTCCTGCTGAATTGTCCAAAAAGTAAGCTGTGGGTTGCCCTGTCATCGAAAAATTCTCAACCGGATAGTGCCTGCATCCAGTCAGCTGGCAATGGGGATTCCAACATCCACGCTGATTACCATGGATGCTGGAATATATGTTTTTCTCTTGTTCAGCCTGCGGGGCTAAACGAGAGATTTTCAAAGCATGTATGGCCAGCCAAAGGCCTCATTCACACACAACGCGAGCAAAATTGTATAGTGCGTATATACGAGCGTATGTGTGTATATGCGTGCACTATTTGCATTCCCAGAATGCATAATTCCTAATAGAAATTTTAATGAACTGTATACGCGCGTATGTACGCGTAAACATGCACATGCATGTAAAATACGCATAAATACGCTGCCCGGATGCATCTTGGTTCCATTCTGTTTTTGCGCTACGCAAATATACGGCTCCATACGCGGCTATGTGTATGGAGCCATGTATTTGCATATGTTGCATATGGTATACGCGCGGCAGTGTGAATGAGGCCTAAATGTGCTGGAATTGTAATAATGTTGCAAAACTCTGGAGAGGATCACACAATGTAGAGAAATAACCAGCCATTTTCACCATTTGAAAGCGTTTGTTTCATCCAAATCCCCAAAATTACTGGTTTATTCATTGTTAAGATGGTGAGTGGAGCAATGCAAATCATTCCTTTATACTCCTGGGCCAATTGAGCGTTCAGATTTATGGCACAGATATAGTTAATATATTTCAGTTTATTTCAGTTGCAGGTTGTGGTCCTGAAGATACTTTTGAATACGTTTCCAGCATGGTCATGGCATGCTGCTGGTTTCTTTGAATGGTGTGACAGCCTTACCATTTACATAGTAACAAATGATCTTAGCAGAGGACTTCAGAAGATCCTGGCTGCCATGGCAGTAGATCCAGTGGTTTAGAAGATGTCAGCCAATTAACTGATACAGGAGAGATGATCTGGTACAGTTCTGCATTACCCTATGGTGCAATGATCTGGATGACATGACATAGTGGATGCACAGGTTGAGTGGCTAAGGATCAATTGATCAATTGATCACTTGTTTTTGAGCAATAAGATCCACTAGTGTTTGGTCAGCTAAACGCAATCTGGCATCAGTGGCATTTTAATGGTGTTTAGGTACTTCTAATCAGGTTACATCTTTAGCATGTACTTTTAAACCAATATGTTGACTTGTAATTATCTAAAGTTACAGCACTGCAAAATGTTTCTAGAATAGCCAAGGTTATTTAACATGTAATATTCTGTAATAATATTGTTTGGTTGTAATGGTACATTTTCTTTACTTACAGGAGAGAATGCCACAAACCCCTTCTTTGGTAGCCATGTTTGACAGCAGTACTTATAACCGCAACGTGTATCATTCCAAAGAAGAGAGCTCTGCTGACCTGTATTACCAAGAAAACAACTTGTTATCTGGCTCACTTGAAGCACTCATCCAGCACTTGGTGCCCAGCGTTGATTACTATCCGGATGTAAGTTGTAGGGAACCGAAAATAAATCTGTTGTCAGTCATGCACTTTCACGCTGTTCTGCTTACATAGGAAGCTTTTTCAGTACAGGAAGCAAGAAGATAGCTTATCTATGTAACACTAAAGTCAGGCTGGCAAATAGATAACAAGTGCCAAGAAAGGGGGCTCCAGCCTTGGGAGCTCTGCTTAATAGAAAGATGGATACAGAACTGTGTAACATATATAAACTGCTTGGGAAAAAAGTATCAATGGGTGAGAAACTATCCATTACAATGTAGTCAAAATCTCTCCAATCCGTTTTTTAATAGTCAGAAAAGCATCATATGTATAAATAGAATTTATGTTTGCTAAAAACTTCTTAATATGAACAAAAAAAGGTATTTTAATTCTTCTAACTATATTACCTTTTACTCGCTTTTTCTGTAGGGCGGAGCTGAGAATTAAAGCCCTACATATTACTAGCTATCGCTGGTGGCATACATGGCACTACTGGTGGAGAGGCCTTAAAGGAGAACTAATGAGATGAGTGATTTCCACTCACCTCATAGTTCTAGCCGACCTGTGACAATGAGACTGTCAGAGGTCGGCTCAGTAGATCGGGAGGTGAGCGAACACATACCGGGTTCGCTCACCTCTCGATCCTGTCACGGCTCTCTGCCGTGGCTGGGGGAGGGGCTGGATTCCCCTCTCCCCGCCCCGATTTGCCAGCGCTGACTGGCGTAACGGACGGGGGAGGGGGCGGGTACAGCTGGCTCTGCCTCTAGATAGGTCTGAGCCAGCTGTCACTCATGCAGCTGGGCCTGATCTCGACTTCAGCTCGCGGTATACTGAGCTTAGGGTAACGGGAGGACGCTAGTTTGTGTCCTCCTGTTACCCTAAGAAGAACTATGGGGAAAAACACTGACCCCATAGTTCTCTTAAGTGCTAGTAAAAATTGTAGTGGTATTGTACCCATATTAGAATCTCACTATGCTCAAGGAAGGCCCCAGTTCAACAGCAGGTTTATCGGTGATGAAGTTAAAATAATACACTTCTCTAAAAAGAAAAATGTGATTACAGACAATTTTGAGGTTCACATATGTCTCTTGATGTGTAACTTCTTAGCCGATGTGCATTGGAGTGAATGAGGAGTGTACGTCCTTTTTTTTAAAAGGCATTTGTACACAACGTCATTTTTGTTATTAAAACTGAAAATATAAAAAAAACTCTGAAAACATCAGATAATTACAACATTCCAGTTCTAATCTTGGATCAGTGGTATGTAAGGGCAAATTTAATAAACATGTATCTGAATCTAGTGGCATATGGCTGTGTAATTACCTTGTACACAAGGGTTAGGGAGGAAGAATGGACATGCCCTTTTTACCCTCTTAGCACTTTTAAGCACTTAGCAGGAAATAGGATACTGATTTGAATGGCTCAGTACATACAAGCATCAGAGTTAAACGTGGGCTTGATTTTTCTTTCTGGTATTAAAGAATGAAAGTCCAGGTTGCATGTCACTAAGGCTTCTTCATCCTGCAAAATGTATATTACACGTTATGTGTGTGGTTGACACGGCTGATTTGATATGTGCTCGTATCCTACTGAATTTTAACACTTTGTAACCGTTGTCCATGTGTGTTGCAGTATAACCTTTTTATGATTCAAATCCCTTATGACGATCATGTTCTCTTGAAGAACAAAATATCTAACAGTGTGTCTTCTTTTTTTCTCTGCAGAGAACATACATATTCACCTTCCTCCTCAGCTCTAGACTCTTCATTCATCCCTTTGAGTTAATGGCTAAAGTCTGTCATGTTTGTATTGAACAGCAGCGACTAAATGAGCCAGGCATCGATAAGGTATGTTAACCCCTCAATCTCAGGGAGGCTAAACAATACCCTGTTGTAGTTTGATATCTTTGGTTAGTGCTGATTCACTTCAATTTATCCTGCTGATTGGGGAGACAAAGCTGTACAAGTTTCTGCTGAAACTTCTTAATCAGATTGTGGAACTGAATAAAAGCACACACGGGCATGAGCTGATTGTCGCCCTCTGGTTGACTTTGGTTGGATCAAACAACACTCCTTATGTCTATGGATGCCTTTTAAATATGCCAAACTCTTCTGGCTGACTCATCTTGGCATAGGGGGAAGTGATCATTGGACTTTAGCCAGGCTTGCTAAATCATTTTGGATTTATGCCATCTCCATGGCAAGAATTTACTAAAGCCAAGCCAAGGTTATTTACAGGGCTGCAACTAATGATTATTTTCTTTATCGAGTAGTTGGCCTATAATTTTTTTCGATTTAATCGGATAAAACATTTTTTTTAACTAATACCCTCCTTTAATTTAAAATAAAATACACCAGAGTGTTTGGAGTGTTACAAACATAAAGTTTACTTCAGAATAAAACTGCATGCACATTTTTTTGCAATCGCCCTGCACTGAAACATGCGGCATTGCGGTACCATGCATACCATGCGGGTGATCCCACTGGGGGTGGGAGGCGTATTTGGAGTGCCTTTGAAATGAATGGCACTGCAAATCACCTCCTGCAGCAGAATTTGTCAGGCAGAAACCTGTGAAAAATGAAAATGATTTTTTTGCAAATAACTGCACATGGCGCTTGAATAGCTTCAGCCAGGGAATGACAGCTATCAGTGGCAAGATTCCGCAGACGGCGGCTGAATGTAAATACAGCAGGTAGTGGGCTGGTGCAATAGCCAGCCTGCTATTGGTCATTTCAAATTGCAGTAGCCAATAGCAGGCTGCCTATTGCACCCGCCCACTGCTTGCTCTGCCCTCCTCCCAGCGTGGAGGAGAGAGCTGGGAGATCCAACCAATCAATGATGAGAATAGTTGACAACTATCGATTAGTTGGTTGCAGCCCTAGTTTTCTAGCAGTGAAATGTTTGCATGCCTTATTTCGGACCTGGTTTTCCTTTTTATTGCATTCCATTTGGAACTCCATGAAAGAGAGTAATCATTTTTAGATGTGCCCTTAATTGGGTTTTTATTTTCCTGAGGGTAATCTTTAAATGTACTTCCACAGAGCCACATCAGAAAAATTGCACCTAAAATCCTTCAGCTGCTGACAGAATGGACTGAGACCTTCCCTTACGACTTCAGGGATGAGAGAATGATGAGAAATCTAAAAGACACAGCTCATCGCATCACTCATGGAGACGAGGTAAAGTGCTTTTCCCTTTTGAGAAAATCCTTTATACTGAGACCATTTCAAGAAAACATGTCTACTTTCATGTATGTGACATCTCCGCTCTAGCATGAGCTTTGTTGAGGATTTGGTCCAGCTCATTGGCTAAGACCTCGTATTTAAATGATCGAGCAGAACATTTTCTAAGCTAACTAAATTCTAGTGTCTCTGCCCAATTACACAGCGCAGTATGTGCTCTGTAAGTGGCTAATGTGACCAGAAGTGACAGATTCTCATTAAGACATTGCTTCACGTTCAAGGATTTGATATTTTTTTCCAGTAATCTCCTCTTTCATAGATAAAAATTAGAGACTTCACATTACAGTATTCTAATAAAGGTAGTGGGTACATCTGTTTTGTCCCTATACTGGCTGTGTGAAACTTGGAAGACCATTTTTACTGCTAGACTGAATTATCCTGCTAGACTAATGAGTATTGCTTGGCAAGAAGAGTTTTTTTGTCTTGCACAATGCCTTTTTAAAGCTAACACATGTCACAGCACAGACCTGAATGCAATAAATATGACTTGGTGCTCAACAAATTACTACATTGAGTTCACAGAAACCTTCCTAACCTTGTGGCTGTCATTGTGTTCTGATTTATCACATGACAGTAATTGCTCACACAAGCCCCATGTCAGATCACAACACTGCTCTATATATTTCCCTATTTTCATTCTTAAGACTACTCTAAAAAGCCTTTTCTTAGAAACTCACAGGGATGACAGCGGTTTTTCCGTGCATAGTACAGTTCAGATGGGTTCATCTTCTGATCTTCTATAAAATAAATGTTGACTAGTTTGTGTCAAAACCTGACTGATGGAATTTTTTTTTTTTTGTACAACCGCTATGTCTATATGTAAAAACATGCCTATAAAGTAAAAATCTGCACACTTACACCTTCCTAGCCTTTGCCTAGCAGTGGTAGTCTGATCAGTGTACACTGGTACACTCAAAAAGTGGTGGTGGTGGCCATTAGCAATGAAATCTGTGGGCTATATAAAAAGGTTTGTTATGTGCCACAGCAGAAAGTTTATATACACTATATAGCCAACACACTCCAGGTTATAAAATCATTCTGCCATGTTTTCATTTCTTTTCTTCAATATGAGGGTAACAATCGCGTGTGGCTTTAAGACTTTTTTATAGTGTTTTACAACATGAATAACGTGTCTGACTAAAGGCGTGCCGAGCCCACTATTATCCGATCACAAACATAGTTTTAAACCATACATTTACAAAAATCAGGACAAAGGTTTTTTTTTTTTTTTTATGCTTTACTTGGTCAGATATGTTGGAGGGGAACTACCTACTAGATGGCACTCTGGTAGAGTTATTCACAACACATGATAACTGCAGTATTAGCATTTGTGTGAATAGCAGCACTTTATATTCTGTCAGCTACAAATGGATGTCCCTGATGTCATTCGATTTGAGGCTCAGCGGTGCAAGGAATGTAACCATAACATACTGTGCTGCTCAATCAACAAAGTAAAATGGAGAAAAATTGCTAATCAAGTGCTACATTGCCCCACAAATACCCAGCAGGGATCACCTAGCAGCAAGGTCCATCTCAGTACATTATTTAATAGTTAACTCTCAAGAACCATAAACTTCAGAGTAATTCAATCATGTAACTATTTGAATATTGTGTGAGCGGTTATGTTATGCACAAAGAACAGCTTATCAAAACAGCCTTTGTTTATTGGACGTTTGAGGACAGACTTGACCCTGTGATCATAGCACTGTGGAGGCCAGTGTGGGATCAAACGGAGTTAAGAGTGTTTGTGCTGGCAAATTCCACTACCGGGAAAGGCTCATTGTCAAGAGTCCATTAATTGTGTCGGCACAGAATAGCAGGACAGCAGCTAAGCAGCAGGACTCGTATAAGGTTGAAAGAACAGAAGTTGCTAGATGTGGGCAGACATTGCTAGGAATACAACAAAATAACTTTAGCGTGATTCATGTTGGCATCAGCTATGAGACTGTTTAATTAAGATCAACTCAGAAAGTTAGATGCGAAAAAGTGATACGTGTACTGTTACAGACTTTTTCAAAGGATTATACAGTCTGAGAATGAAATAAGCGTCTTTACTTTTCATGTGAATATGTAAGATGAAAACAACCCCATCTAACCAATGCAGTTGCACAGAAGAGACTCTAGCCTACTCTCATCACACCTCATTTATATTAATTGCCAAAAGTCCATAGGACTAGGGAAACTGGCACTGCTAAAGTACCTAGGGGCAGCATTTTTTATTTCACTGGCAGGTGGGAGTACGTGTTCTGAGGTTGCAGCTCCTGCTTATCACAACAGCATGGAGAGGGCCAGGTTACTGTTCCCATCACCTCCCTCCTACACAGAGGGTTTCCATAATGGAAGGTTTTTTTATGGGAGGACATTTTTCTGTAAGTTGAGGACATGTTTGAATTTTTCATCAGTACCATCATATTGAAGTTGTTTTATTTCTTTTTGTATTAGTACTATAGTTTTATTGTGCTTTTTTTTTTTTTTTTTACTCATACTTCACTTTTTTTTTATTTCAGATGTACAGAAAAACTGTCCAGCAAATCATCCAAAACCTTATCCGGAAATTAGCTGCTTTGAGCCAATATGAAGAACTTATTGCCAAGATCAATGCCCAGTCTGCTGATCGTATGGCCATCCTAAAGAGCAAGCCACAGTCCATTCAGAGGGATATCATCAGCATATGCAGCGACCCTTATACTTTAGCTCAGCAGCTAACTCATATTGAGCTGGTAAGCAGGAGGAATAAAGGATTTGTAAAAGCATTACAGTTAAATTGATGTATATGCTCATGAATTTACCATTTGCTTTACAGGAGAGGTTAAGTTACATTGGACCGGAAGAGTTTGTGCATGCTTTTGTGCGGAAGGATCCATTAGACAACAATGAGGTAAAGTGCCTAGGGGTGTTCCTTACTTTTAGAGAAATCTAAAGTTTTTAACTCCTTTTGTCACTGGTAAATGGCGGTAAACACAAGATCCTGTTTAACAGAATAGTACTTAGTACATTTATACTTTGCAACCTAAAGTAATCATATTACCTTAGATAATGGCATGATCTGATTCAGCTATGAGGGCCAAGTCAAATTTGCACAGACAGTAATATTTCATTAAGTAATACTGTATACCATCTTTTTGATCATATTTTCTTACTACTGGTCAGTAACCCATTGTTGTTGACAGGGAAAGTATTCTTTTGAGTTATAACTTTTTTGTTTTTGACATGGCTTTCCTATTTTTGGTTGTTACTCTTCCATATTTGTGTTTTTTATTGTAATAAATGTAGACATGAGATATCTGCCACACAGGGACTGCATTGTTCTCAGTGAGTCGGCCAACTTTTAGATTTGCATTGTGATTAGTGGCAGTCAAGCACAATCATTGTGTAGCACTTAAAAGCAGAGTCATTGTAAGCAATGGCTAAATATGGTTGCCCCCATGTTGTGTATATTAAAAATCGTACAAAGAAACACAGATACGATTTACAGATACGATCATGTGGATGTCTGAAGATAAAAAAAAATGATATATAGTATTCCATGATCAAAGTAGCTGTAGTGTTTTTACAGGTAAACAGGGGTGAGATGGGCTGTCTTGCACATTTCTAAAATTATAAAAATACCCTGTGTGACCTTGGTTTCCTAACCTAGCCATCAATTTTAGATGTAAATATTGGTGTCTATGTATGTCTGAAAATAAACTGGCTATTTTAACACGTGTATATATCCTTTTGCTTTAACAGAGCTGTTACAGTGACCGCAAAAGAACTCGGAATTTGGAAGCCTATGTGGAGTGGTTCAATCGGCTAAGCTACCTTGTTGCAACAGAAATCTGCATGGTAAGAAATGCAGCTGATGGCAGTCCTTTTATTGTTTGACTTTAGGTTCCCCACTGAAGTCTCACACTTGCTCTTTATCCACAGCCTGTTAAGAAGAAGCACAGAGCCAAAATAATTGAGTTCTTCATTGATGTTGCTCGGGAATGTTTCAACATTGGCAATTTCAACTCTCTGATGGCAATTATTTGTAAGTGAACAAAGTTAATAATAAAATGCAGCTATTGGTAAATGCAGATTGCGTATATTATTCAATAGTGCCTCAATGTTTAGAAGTAGTCCTGGCAGAAAGCGGAGAAGGAAAAGTTGCATAGATATTTAAACTCTAATCTGTTCTAAACAATTGTGCAATATAGAAATTGCAATAAAAAAAAACCCAAACAATTTCCTCTAAACAATTTTATTAAGTTCCGCTTATTGGTTTAACTAATAATGATCTTCCAGCCACTAGATTAAAAAAATGATGGTAGAAATAAATGCCATGCAGCTTCCACCCAAAATTTAGAACTTGAATTTTCAATAGGCATATAAAGCAAAGCCAGTGCCATGCCTTGTTTGACCTGGTGTCAGCCTCTTGCAGTCCCCTATGCAACATAGCTCAGTCTGGAGCAGGGAGTAGTGGCAGAAGGAATCGGTTGTGCTGCTGTGCAAGGAGAATGCTGATAGGAGGAGAAAGCAGGTGAGCTCATCAGTCTGCTGCTTCTCCTTCACTGTCCAGTCACATACTGGGCATGGGAGAAGTACTATGAGTGTAACTGTAGCTGAGAAACTCCGATCTTCTCCCATGCCAGGGCTGCGCTATGTGGCAGAAATGCAAATCCTTTGGCAAGTACAACAGCTCCAATATTTGTATTCCATATGTGTTTTTAAAGATTTAGCCATACATGCCCAAGCCAAATTAACTACAGGGATAATAGAATTCATTGTACCATGACTGTACACACTGACCGATTGGCATTTTATTGCACAACCGCATTGTCTTTGCTGCCTTTTGTGCTTTCAAGTGGATATTATTTGGCCATGGAAATTTTTTTGAGCCAAGGCCCATTATCCTCACATTTGTTTTTCCCTACTATAGGAAGCCTATATGCAAGCTTTTCAAGTATTAGAACTACTAAATTAGACTTTGTTAGTGGCATTGTATGACTTTAATTCCCTTTTCTAAAAAGTAAACTTAAAACAATGAGACAGATTGATATTACATTGTTTATAGAATGCTGGCAGAGCTTCAGAAGAATCAAATGTACATTTCTGCAGCAGTTTACTTCTCAGACTTTACTGCTAAGAATGAGAGTTGAAGAAATAAGACTTGCTGCACTAATAATGTAAATGTTTTCAATAGCTTAGTTCATACGAATACAAACTTTGTGGAAAAAAAATCAATTGTATTGAAAATGTGCAACTTGAGTGATATCCTGTGGACTTTTTATTAACCAAAGCTCTAGGAAATGATGTTTTCTAACATGTGTATAATGTTTTATATTCTGTGCAGCTGGCATGAACATGAGCCCTGTGTCTCGACTAAAGAAAACTTGGGCAAAAGTCAAGACTGCAAAGTTTGATATCCTTGAGGTATGCAAGGCTGCTACGATATGAAATGGAATTTATTACAAAGGAAAATTGAAATTTTCATTTTAGAATGTAGTGTTTCTACCGTATTAGTACAAAAGTAAGATACTGAAGATGGCAGAAAATCTGAACTGTAAAAGGTTGGGGGATGGAATAGCACCACAAGGGATCAAATTAGTCATAAGCTTACTTATGCATGTTGGAAAATTTAAAAAGAACAATCTAATTGGCTGCTATAAGCAAGCTATACTTAAGTGTCCCTTAATGTAATTTTGTGTTCAATAACCTGCCCTTCAAGTTGCAGTTGAGGTTGGTGTTCATTATTAGAAGTGTTGACCAACTTACTAGATATAAAGGGACACAAGTGTTGCCCCTGACATAACTAAAGGGTTACATGTAATGCTACAGATGTCTGTCACACTGCACATATAATATAAGCAATAGTTGGGGACTTCAGAACCTAATGCATGCGTGGTTGGAGGCCGGGAACATGCTGCAGGAGATGGTTAAAGAAATGGGGTGTGCTAGATGAGACTGCTAAAGATCGTTGCCAGCATAACCCATTTAAAGATCAATACTCCCACATTTGTCCAACCTACAGCTCGCTTGAATTTACTGGTCTGAGGGCCACACAAAAGGTTCCAAGGGGGCCACATGTTGGGCACCAGGGATTTATACTGTATACTTTCAAATATATGCTACCTTCACTATTGCTTTTGTGTAATTCTGTACATATTGTAAGTTTTTTGTAAATCTGTTCTTTCAGCATCAGATGGATCCTTCCAGCAACTTTTACAATTACAGAACTGCTTTGCGTGGGGCAGCTCAAAGGTCTCTAACCGCCCACAGCAACAGGGAGAAGGTATGTTGTCTGCACAACTTGGCAAACACTTGTAGGAGGACAGATGTTACTATTGTTTGCACAATGGATTTAGACAGGAATGCAAAACAGATGGGAGCTAATGGTAATAAGGGTGAAAAATTAACAACCTTCTTAATTAGACTGAAGTTGATAACCTAAGGAAATGGCAAAAATAATATTTTAAAATGGCTTTACAGACATTGCAGCAGTCTGCTGGTTATATTTAGTGGTTTTAAAAGCTGCAATTAAATATGCACTGGTCATTATCAAATAGGTAACTATGCTTATCAGTTTTTTAACTTTGAAAATGTAAATCCAATAAAGCTTTTGTTCAGTATTAGTGGATATTTTTATACCAGCAACTTATTAAGGTCTTGCACACAAGTATAAACATTACAGAATGTAATCCATAACATGGAAGTTGCAACTTGTAATGGAAACATGAATTCATGTTTTGCTTAATCTGCTTAATTATGTATTTAAAAGAAAAAGCAAATTTATAGCTTTATAAAGATGGGATAACTAGTAATATTATTTAATAATATCCTAAATAAATGACTTCACCTATACAGGAAGCAGGTAATCTGTATAAACTAGCTAAAGTAAATGTTACCTTATTTAGCATCCATTGTAAGGTGCCTGATTCAGTGCCACTTCTCCAGTGCCAGCCCCAAACGCAGTCAGGTGGGGTGTGTCTGTGTAAAGCATTATGCAAATACCAACTTTCAAAAAGTCAGTATTTGCTTAGGCTTTTGGATGGTTCCTGGGGTAAATTAGGGCATAACCGAAAAACTTAGGAGCACAATCCTTCTGGTGTAACCCTAACTCCAGCGGGTAATGGAGAGTACAGGTTGTACATAAATAAGTCTTCATTCTTGCATATTCCGACGTCATTGCTCAGCCAGGCGCAACATGGTTTAATTTAAAATGCCTAACCAGACTATACCTACCAAATAAATAATTAGACAAGCATGTGTATGCTGAAGAATAATGTCTTTTAAAACATGTATTATTCAGAGGCTTCAATGAAGCATGTCTGTTATGCTACATTGGTTTAACAGCATCTTGCTGAAATTGAGCACTGCACAACATTCTGAATCGCCTGGAAATGTAATTAACAACTTTCAGATTGCTCAGTGTTTATAAGCTTTGTGCTAGATCTCCAGATGTAATTTCCTGCATATTAACTGCTAATCTGTTAACTCTCATTACCATTCATAGGGAACTGACTTGTCTGTGGTTCAGTCAGGTGGTACCTGTATGTCTGGCAGCAGACATGATGATGGTGGGAAAATTCATATAAATACTCTTTCAATATTCAAAAAAGATTTATTAAACATGCATTCTAGGTGCAAAAAAAATTACGGAGGGTGGATTAAATAACAGTTGAAATTTTTTTCTAACTTGCTGGGAAATCATTCTTTGCAGAAAGTGGTTTTTGACAAATTCTATCAGTACAAATGGCTGATTAGTACACTGTGCAGTTATTGGTAAAAATATATTAGTTACTGTTCAAAGCACAAACAACTGGAAAGAACAGTCAAATACCCTCAAATGTTGCTGTTCACATAAAAAGATCACAAGATGAGCGACTGACAAACATTTGGAGAAATAATATTTGCTGTTTGTATGAAATTATGTATGGGAACTCCCTGCATAGACTGTACTGCACACTTAAACACTAAGGTTCTTTAACAGCCAGCTTGGTCACATTCCCAATTTGGTGACCTGACTTCCTTAAGCTCTTTTGCTTTTATATTTATAAATAAAATATCCATCTTTAGTAAGTGAAGCTTATAATTCCAAAAATGCTGTGTCGAATTCTTTCTGTGTATTGGATGGCTGCCAAGTTGCTTGCTGTGCGGCATCCATTTAGGAGAGGAGATTTTCAATATTTAAGGCATACATTTATGCCTTACTGTCACTTTTCATAGATGTTACTATTACAGCATACGTGTTAAGACTGCTAGAACCTTTCTACCTGTGCTATGACCACAGTAAATGTGTTGCTTACATAAGCCATGTGTATGTATTTAGCCTGGAAAAATAAGATGTACTCTGTTGAGCAGAAAGGCATAAAACCAAGAGATCTGTTGATGGTAATAGTTTGCTTTTGTTTTCATATAGATTGTGATCCCATTCTGCAGCCTGCTGATTAAGGACATCTACTTTCTGAATGAGGGCTGTACAAGTCGCCTCCCTAATGGACATGTCAATTTTGAGGTAAGTAAACTATCCCATTAGGGCAAAGCTTCAAAGTAGCTTTCAATTTGAGACCCTTGACCTTTTTATCAACATCGGTTTCACTGCGAACAGACTGGGGCTGATCTGTTAAGAAAATTGGAGGTGTTGCCAGGTTTTAATTTTTGTTGGAAAAATTAAGTGAGAATTCTGCTTGGCAACAACTTTATTTTTATGAAAACTGGAATAGGAAAAGTATAAAACAGTGTGTTGTCTTATACAACAAAAAATATATTCATGAAGTGCAAAGTGTAGTAACCTATAGCAACCTATACTGAATTCAGATCCGTGAAAGATGAATTGATATGCTGTGGGTGACTGCTGCTAGCACTTTGCTCATTACATTTTGATTAAATGTCGTGAAGTCACACCATATAACCGAAAAGGATGCAATCAAAGCTTACTCGAAAAAATCCTTTTTGTAATGAGTGCTGCCTTCCATATGCCCATCACTTTCAACAACTTCCTGGATTCCCAGTTTGTTTTGCATCTTTGACTGCTGCTTGATGTGATGCAATCTCAATTTTTCAAGGCTATCATGCATTGCTTTTAGCAAGCAATGATCATGTTACAGTGTTCATACGTTGAGTTGTAGTTTAGATGGCAGGCTTAGTTACAGTAGTGACATAAGGCAGTGCTTATTCACAGGGCTATGTCAGGTCAGTGAGGAAGTACATCCTATGGGCATCTTTAATAAGTTAGTTCACAAACTTCTAGATTCATAAGGTTATTAGGAGTGGGAAAGAACTTAGTGAAATTCAATATAGAAATGCATATTTATTTTTTGATCATAGATACCCTTTAAGTATTAAGTAGTTAGCTTTGTTGCTTAGACCCAAATCTTGGTTCAATTTTTTAAAAAATATGCTTCTATATAGTGTGCATTCTTATAGCTTTAGGGAGCGAAAGCTGTTCGTTCTTTGCAGAGACGTGCCATAGTTACACCACAACTAAACGAACACCTCCTTATGTAAAAGGATATATTCATTGGCTGAAGCTGAAAGTCTTGTGATCTGCTATTATGTCACCAGTTGGCCTAATTTATTTTAGTGTCTCAGGTCCTTGTCTCGCCCTGTAATTAGTCTGCTTTCTTCTGTCATTTTTCCAAGGCAGCTTTGAAAATTAAAATAAAGGCCTATTGTGGCAGTTTGGTCATGCATATTAGGAAGGGTCTGTTCCCTCAGTTCTTTCCTTTCTACATTTGTATTTTTTTTTCTTCTAATCTTCAGAAATTCTGGGAGTTAGCAAGGCAAGTCAGCGAGTTCACGGCATGGAAACAAGTTGAGTGTCCTTTTGAAAAAGACCGGAAGATCCTGCATTACGTCCTGACTGCACCAATATTTAGTGAAGATGGTATGAGTCTGTTTTTCTAATAATTATTATTTTTACTATTATTAGCACGGAAAAAAATCTAAAAAATAGTTGATCATTACTGTTAATCCAATTAATATAACTCCGTAAGCCATCTGTATTTTCTAATAGTTTGCACATCTGGGCTTATTCAGCAGTGCAAAAAATAAAGAAGTCAAACGGTAGCAACGCATAACAACAAATCAGAAATCACCCTTTTAACTGCTCTGTTTACAGTAAACTAAAATCTAATTGGTTGTTATGACTATGTGTTGTTGTTATGACTATGTGTTGTATTACTTTATTGAATAAGCCTGAGTGTTTTACCATAGAGCCTGGTTTGGTCTACTGTGTACAGTAATATGCAACTCATGGATTCCATTTTGGATTCATATGTTCCATTTGTGTGTGTGTATGTATGTATGTATGTATGTATGTATGTATGTATATTTTTAGATATATTCTTATAATAGGTGTTGGACTCTCTAGCGGGTAAAAGAGGGAAGACCATACTTCTGGGATGCTCAAGAAGGGCAATGTGCCATCAACCTAAAACTGGCGTAGCAGTCGGATGTGTGTAGATTGTCTGATGCACACACATGTCCCTTTTTTTTCTATGGGGAAATAACTTGACTAAATCTGGCCTTGTGTACATGGTTTTTATCCTAACCATTTGAGCAGCCAATTTTGGTGAGATTTTAAACAAGTCTTTTTGTAGGCTAAAGGTGTAAATTACAATTTGTTGTACCTGTTATCTTGATATTCCTTTCAGCTATGTCACATTTGTGTTGAACAGGTTTTCTGACCAAAGATTTCATTCTTTCCATGTTGCAGGACTGTATCTGGCCTCCTATGAGAATGAAAGTCCTGAGAATCACATGGAAAAGGACAGATGGAAAAGTCTGAGGTGTGTGTCAAAGTCCATACCAGCCCCCAAGCCTGTGTGTATTTCTGCCACACTGGATAGTCACATTCAAAAATCTGTTTGCAAACTCCAGTGACTTGAGTAGCCAGAGAAGCTACTGCCTTGTTTTAACTGAATGTTTACTTGTGTGTCTTTAAATTATTATATTTGATTTTTGTCCACTGTATTTTTCTATATTTTAGTCCTCCCATTTTTACATGTTTGAAGCATTAAATTATATCTTCATGTTCACCGTGTTGTGTTTTCAATTGGTGAAATGATCGGTTAGCTTAGCTTATTGTTTACAATTTATTACATGTTTCAATGTAGTTTTGATGATCCGGTGAAGCATATCTAGTGGGAAAACTAGGCAGTAACATATTCCTTGGCACTTTGCATTTAATTCAAAATAGGTCAATAAGTCCATTTCATGAGGCCACACTGTTATATCTTTAAAGGGTCAATCCACTTAGAAGAAATTGTTATGGTAGTTTAATGTTCAAGTAACTCGCAAAGACTGAAAGATTACTTTCATCTCTTGGTAAGATCTCAGCACTTGGGTTCCTGGGCACCTGCTTCCATTATTGGCTCCTACTCTACCTGCTGTTATTTCGGATAACAGGAAATGCTACAGGAGGAGCTGGAACACACAAAGATGGGTGTAAACACCCAGAACTACCAAGTAAAGTCAGGAACTGTGATAGATCTCGCTGTTAAAGTAACCAAGACATAAGCCGTAGGACTGACTTGGCTTACCAAGCTCCATCTGTAACTAATATGACTTTTAAATTGGCGGACGCTTTAAAAGGGAAAATATCTATGTTGGAACCCCAAGATGGCTCTGGCAATTTTTTGGCATCTGCACTGCATGCCAGTTGTGCTGACATTACATCAGCAGTAACGTCACATGTAGTGAAGCTGAATTCAGGTCAGCCTCACTATACCGAAAGTAGGCCTAGGAATTGGAGAGTGGTCATTCACATAGGTATTTTCCTTTTATTGCAAATTCCCTTTAATGAACATGCTTGCATTAATTTATCCTAACTTTAACAAAAACACTCGGCTGTAGATCCTCAAATCATCTCTGAATTGGTGCTGGCACTTCTGGAGGGTGGCCGTGTGTGTTGTAAAGTAGCCACCACTCCAAGCTCCCTCCCGTGATGGTCTACAATCTCGTGCTTCTAATTTGTATTGAGATTGTAGTCCATTACATGAGCGAACTTGGAGCGGTGGCTACCTTACAACACACACACTGACCATGGGGAAGAAAAGTTGCCATTCTCCAGAAGGAGGGACAGTGTTGGCACCAATTCAGAGATAATTTGAGGATCTACATCTGAGTGATTAAAAAAATGCATCTTATCTGGATAATACTTGAATGCATTTTTAAGGTTTAACTCCTGAGTTTAGTGTCCATTTAATAAGAAATAGAGTAGATAGATTATTATATATAACACATGTGCTTATACAGCTTGTACAGGCAATGATAGTGCTACAAGACTTTATTTAGATTTCTTTGAGAAACGCACACAATGTATGTCTATGGCATGAGGAATCGCTAGTCAAGATTTATCGTCCTCTGTTATATCTTGTTTAATTTTCTTATTTGTTTTTTTCCAGGTCAGCACTTTTGGGCAGAGTCTAATGTATGAAGTTGCTGCCATAAAATGGCCATTATTTATGGACACATTTGCACTGAGTGGGATTTGACTGATTGGAGCATGTCAGGCAGCCGTTTCTCCAGCACAGCAGAGGTGAATCACTGCAGCTCTAGGGCAGACAGGCAAATTAAATGAATTTCCAGTGACTGGGCTCCGGTGCCTGTTTAGGACAAACAATTAAGGCTATTTCACAGTCTTCCCTATGCTCAGCTTTTACATCTTCATTTGCGTATAGATTCCTTACTGGATCCCACCTTCTGCTTATCACTCCAACCCAGCTGTCAGTCTTACACAATAAGAATAAAGTCACCATGTGTGCTGCAGAGGACAAGCAGTACTTCAAGGTGAAGACAACGAAAATCTTTAAAAAAAAAACAAACTGAAAATCTCTCGCTGGACGGAGCCTCCACCCGTAAATGATGAACAGATTGGTTTCTAAACTAGTTTACTGCTGGATAGTAAACTGTGAACTGTTAATAAATATTACTAATATTTCATGTATACCATTTGCTGTCATTTCAGATCTAAAATGTCTGGAATGTAGGTAACAATATAGCACAGTAAATGTGTGAATTGACTGTTACTGTGTGTTTGATGTGTTTACAGTCTTATTTCCCTTTTTTTTCTTTGTATTGTCTTTTCATATTCATGTCTGTTGTGCTATTATGAATCTCATTTATTTATTACACTGCTCTAACCAGCAAGGCTCAGAGCAAGTTGTGCACTGAACATAATACTGAAGTAAACCTAACTGTCCTTGTCTTGCTTCGCCTGCCATCAGTATACTTTTAGAAGTACTGTAGGCTGGAAAGCCTTTGTTTGTTCTACAAACAACCTATAGGTGTTTGCCTTGTCCTTCAGATCAGTTATGTACAGGAGCAGCAAACTGACCCTGTGCTTTATTACCAAAAGGAAATGCATATGCATCATTTCCTAAATAATTGGCACAAGAGGCAAAACTGCTCAACTGCTTTGTATCATGTTTTTATAATGAAGTTTAAAAAAAGTCTATATTACTATAGACTGAAAAAGCTGTGAGAGAATAACATGTAATTACTGGTTTATTATGTAATGGTCTTCCTCATACTACTTTCACTAAGCCAAGGTTTGTTTCTGTCATATAACACAGACAAACAGACCAATTTACCTCATGTTTTTCCCCTATAACCTACAATTAACCGTAAAGACGTAATCTAGCACTTGGAAGTCGTTCTGAAACAATGCTACATATTCCAATTGACTGAAGGAGGGCTTTTTGGGCATGTATTGTATAGGAACATGATGGAAGATGAATGTGCTAGTGACAATAAGACAGGATTGGTATGTAGGTACTCTACTGTATTTTTCAAGGATATTAAAGGTCATGCAGGTGTTAAAGGAGTTGAGCATTTAAAGGCATATAGATGCTTATTACACACACACAGATGTGTACATGCTTACTGTTGCATATGAGATGTAATAGTATTCCGAATAAATCCAGCTATGGGTTTATCTGATGCCATAGCAGAAGACGTCATCATTTTTAGCTAACCGCTTTATAGGATTAGGGATAGGGTCAGAGGATTAAACATATGCTTAGGGACCCAAGGAGCGAAAAATGTATTCACTCTTGGAAAGATATTGTTATATTCTTGTTCAGGTACATGGATGGCGTAGCCATTCACAGACAGACCCTTCACTTCCTAAGTAATCGTTGAGCACCCCGAAGCGGTGGCAAATATGTCCATCTGACTTGCATGATTTTATGTCAGATATTTTTTTGTTTCTACTGACATACCTGCGCCATGATGGTTTGCATTTCTTATTCGTTCAGTAATTATTGTTTTTTGTCACTGAAGCTACAGATTTTTGCTCATAAATGGGTCATTTACATACTGACTTGCTGCAATTTTTTATTTTTTTGCAAGTGTTCTAAAAATTAGCCAACGATATGCTACTAAAGTCCAAACACAATTTATCTCTGTTCATGTAAACCTCCATTTACTTAGAACAAAGGCAAACAAAAAAAGTAATATATGCTTAACTTTGACATAATGATACTGAACAACTTGTGTATGCTCTGTTATAATACAATATTTTTTTCTATAGAAATAGAGATGTTACTTACCGTTTATTGATATCCTATAATTATATTTAAGTATTTGTATATGCAGAAAAACAGCACGATGGCCAATCACCCATGTAACATGTTTTTCTGAAAAATTAAAAAGGGGATTAACATACTCAATTAGTGCCAAATCCAGTGACTGCCATATCTAGAAAATGATATGCTCATTGCTATTCCTAAGACATTTGTCAGAATTTCCATAATCAATTTTGAAGACATTTTCACACACATGAAAACTGCAGGGAAATGAATATTCTGACAAGCAGCTGTTCCGACAAGACATTAGACACCTCCCCACTACTTTGCATGAATACATTTAGCAGATCCCTGGAGGAGAAGGACATTCTGTGTCCTAAATTGAAGAGCAAAAGAGCATTCAGTTTCTCATATCACGGTTGGTTGTATAGTTGTGCAGCTGGTTGGCATAAAGCTACAAAGTCTTTATCTGGATCCCAAGAAAAAATAAGAAAGAATATTGGTCGCCAGGGATCAGTGTGAAAAATGTGGAATGGTATTCTTGTAAAAACGCAGTTTAAATGTATAGCACTTTCCACCTATAACAGTTCAACAGATGTTCTTTAACTTTAACCCTAAAGTCTCAACAATGCAGTTCCATAATATAAGCATGTTGGCTGTACATAGGAAAAGTTGTGTATGCATATGACTTAAGTATGAGGTGTGGCTACTAAAGCTATTTGACATGGACACTTGCGGAGAATATTAGTATTTTCTTCTATATTTCCTTACATACATGCAGTGTTATTTTTCACTTTTAGAATTGTAAGGACATAAAATATATAATTTGCAAGAAACACATTTATAACCATTCCAAAAAACAAATCCGGAGTCAATCATTGTTTGGGAAAAGCCTATGCAGTGAAAGATGTATATATTTTTTTTAATTAGTGGTACAGAACTATAGGTCACGGAAGCATTGTTTTCTTATTTTCCTCAGTTACAGTATGCCCAGTACTCCAATAAACAGGTACTGTAGTGAAGGGGCATTCCAAGAATATGGAAAGCTGACCTCTACGTAGGGCGTGTGAAGTGTTCTTATACTTAAGAAGTGTGTAAATACAACTGTAATGTATTTTGACTTGCTTATAACAAGCATTTCTAATTTATGTAGTTGAAATTAAACTGTACATACCAGTAAACAGCATTGTATAAATTAATTATTTTGCGCGTGTGTCTTATTCTGTACGTACTATATCTGAATATATGTACTCGCAGTTCTTATGGACATATTAAAAGCCATGCCCCAGAACTTACAATCTAACAGCCCAGTCCAAAAAAGTGTAGATCCTGATGTGGCAATAGCAATTTTGGGTGTTGTAAAGCAGGCTCTCTCCAAGCTAGGTTTGGCCTGAGTCCTTATATAAACAAACTAACAGGGTTATTCACAAAGGGGTGACGAGTTTGGAGAAGGCAGGAGAAGGGAACAATCTAGGACAACATAGCTAAACATAGCTTTTGAATATTCGTACAAAAATCTACCAGAGTATACCCATTTTAACATCCCAGTCCTGTAAGCATACAGACCTCTACATCCTAGGACCACATTATACAAAAGTCAATTAACTGTGTATTTAAAGGAGAACTATGAGGTGAGTGCTTTTCACTCTTTTCACAGTCTCATTGTCACAGGTCGGCTCAGTAGATCGGGAGGTGAGCGAACACATACCGGTGTTCGCTCACTTCTCGATCCTGTCACGGCTCTCTGCCGTGACAGGGGAGGGGCTGGATTCCCCCCTCCCCGCTCCGATCCACCAGCGCTGACTGGCGGAACGGATGGGGGAGGGGGCGGGTACAGCTGGCTCTGCCTCTAGATAGGCAGAGCCAGCTGTCACGCAGCTGGGCGGATCTCGACATCGATGTCGGGATCCGCTCCGGTTGCGGCATTTCAGTATACCGCGAGCTTTAGCTCGCGGTATACTGAGCTTAGGGTGACGGGAGGACGCTAATTTGTGTCCTCCCGTTACCCTTAGGAGAACTATGGGGAAAAGCCCTGACCCCATAGTTCTCCTTTTTAACTTTTTTAAAATTTCTTGACATGGAAAAACCTCAGAGCACGCCTGAGGAAAATTAAAAGAACATGCAGTACATAAACAGAACACTCTACAGATTAGTGTGCCTTCTAGGAAATTAAGCCAAGAATGCATAGCATTCTGTCTACTAAGGTGGGTTCCCTCTTGGGGTGAAGTATACAATGTATGTACAGTATATTGACAGTGGGAGAAGGATTTATGCGTTTTAATACCACAAATATTCCCTAGCACAAGCCAAATATATGTGCAGTGCAGTCCTCAAGTATATTTTAAGTAATTCTTGCTTACTAGCCTGGGTAGAGGCTGTTGACTGCAGAATGTGTCATGGGGCACCGTTTGAGCACCAATACAGATAGAGAAAAATATTAATGCCTACATCATCTCAGAAATTGTCTGTACTGTATATGAATAAGGAGTCATAGGGTGGGTATATTGCAAGATTTAATATATAAAAGGTAGGGTAGAGTAAATTATTGTTTTAAAATGCAATTCATTATTTAATCTAAACCGTTTTTCTAAAGAGGGGCAGCTTTAGTGCACACTTCGACTGTATTCATCACTTGCTTGGCTGTTACGCAACACTAGGGCTTTAATCTTTCCTGAGTCACTGCCCCAAAAAAGTATGCTGATCAGGACAAAATCTGAATCATGGAGGCTGACACTGCTGACATGCTTTTGAGAATGCTAATTTTCTGGCTGTCATGCTGATGCTTTGGCTTCAATGCTGTTTGAGTTGCTTACCTGGAGAAGGTACAGAGGTAAGGGGTTGTGACATTTTTCTTGCACTCATTTACAGTTTGATTGCCCTGGCTCAGTGATTTAAAATAATAAAGTCAAGCACAGTCACACATCTATTTGTAGAAGGAAACAAATAATTACAGCCCCTATACTTCACTCATGACAGATTCAATGTGTGCTATATTTTGAAAGCATAAAGGAAGGTATAAGCCACATGGTTTGCAGACACCACAAATCTGTTGTTGGGAGTCTGTCATACTTTTTCTTATAATAAATCTCAAGACCAGTTTTCCAACTGAAAATTAGTCATTTTTAGGTTGGTTCTTTTTCCCACCATAGTTTAAGGGCTAGTTCACACCAGCCACAGTGCGTTCTGACCAGAACGCACTGGATCGCATTGTAGCCGTCTCACTTTGTTGTGGGACGGGAGGGGGCGTGGCGGTGCATTGAACTCAATGGCACCTTAGCCAAGCTCTCCAGCCGCAATGCAAACGGCCGCACGGGAACGCAAGGCACATCAATGCCTGCGGTCTGGTCAGAAAACAAAATGCTGCAAGCATTGATTGCGTTCAATGCACCGCCACGCCCCCTCCCGCCCCACTTCAAAGTGATCTGGCCACAATGCGATCCAGTGCGTTTCGGCCAGAATCGTGCCGGAACACACTTTGGCTGGTGTGAACTAGCCCTAAAGCAAGGGAAGGATCACCATCATAATTTTTAACAAACCTTGCTAATACTCTTTCTACTCGGCTGACCAGTTAAGCAAACATCTAATTTCCTTTACTTTTAATTATATTATTATAGTATAAAGCAAGGCATTTTCCAGACACAAAAGCAAGAACGAAGTGCAGTAGCCAACAGCAACCAGTATGAAATATTGTCAAAACTGGACAGACTAATGTATACTAATATGTGGTAACAATGC